CAGTTCCTTCACCTGCAGGTTGATGTCATCCACTCGCACTTGAATGGTCTCTCGGTCTCATCCATCGCGGATGCGAATGACACAGGATGGCATGGCAGTGAGCCCTTCGAGGGTATGTGGACGTCATTCATGCTGGGATCACCTGATACGTGGGCTGGTGACTGGGCGGTGTCATTAATCTCTATGATTAGCTCGCCAAGGTCGTTGCAGGCTATCGCACGTTCACATTCCCGCTACTCGCAAGGCACTCAGAACTGTGACACTGCAGGTACAGGGCCAGACGAATTAATAATGCAACAACGCACCAAGACTATGGTAACGCGAATATACATAAGTAGGTAGTTTTGGATGAACAAGGTCCGGGCAATTTGGTGTACGAGGCTCTGGGAGATCTGATAGCTACAGGTGGTGGACGGGCGGAACACGAGTCGGAGCGAGTCACAACTACAGACATTACGATTACAGTACTGTACGACTAATGTCCGGATGAGAAGTGCATGATCGGGGGTCGTGGTGGACGTGCATGGGAAAGTGAGTATGTGTATGAGTCGGAGCATAAGCATGAGGATGAGGCGAGATGACGAGATGAGATGATGATGACACGAGTATGGGTGCTATGAGCCGAGGATGCGAGCAGTGAGGAATGCGATGAGAGCGAGGAAACGGGTGCGGAAGACGAGCCCAAAGCATAGTATATGGATAAATAGCGTCCAAGTCCATCCAGTCGGTCCGAAAGCCAAAGCGCCAGAAGTCCGATAATCGATAGTCGCCCGCCCCACTGTCGGTGCGGATGTGGATGTGGGCGTGGGCGTGTCGCAGACACTGCGCGGCGCAGCCAGGGCAGGCCCATCCCCATCCCGAGGCGACGCGGGTCTGAAATCTGAGGAGAGAAACGGGGAGGAGTCGAGCCGAGTCAGCTCACGGCTCGCAGTCAAACTCGAGATCCGTCGCGACGTCCTCCCACGCGTCCATGGTCGCGAGCAGCTTGTGCGTCTTTGCACGCACGTCCGCGTACGCGTCGCGGCCCATGACGAGCCAGAGCGGCCACTCGCGCCCTGCAGCGCGGCCCTCGCCCTTGACGACGTCGACGAGGAGCTCCATCGCCTTTGCGGGGTCGCCCTTCTCGTGCCCGGCGATCTGGGCGAAGCGCGCCATGCCCGCGTTCCGCATGTCGTCGTACACGGGGACGTGGTTGTGGATTGTCGCCGGGTACGCGTGCACGCCTTCGGTCCGGAACGCGCCGGGCGCGACGATGAGGACACGGACTCCGAACGGTCGGAGCTCGCTGGCGTAGGTCTCTCCGATGGCTGCAGGACAAAAAGAGTAGTCAGTTTCAGAGGCCGACGTGCCGGAACAGGACGCGGAGCGCTCACCATGTACGGCGGCTTTCGAAGCGGCGTAGAAGCCGGCGGGCTGACAGGAAGACAGTGCTGTAAGTGACCGGACGGCCGAAGAGAACTCGGGATAGAAGCACGCACCGAAACCTCTGCGCGCCATGCGGACCGGGAGCCCAGGATGACGACCGTGCCCGAGCGGCGTTCGCGCATGTGTGGGAGGACAGCGTTCGTTACGTTGAGCACGCCGAAGAGGTTCGTCTGGAACTGGGTGAGAGCAGCGAGGGAACTGGATGACGGCGATCAGTATCCGGCGTGCTGCGCAGTCAGAGATGCGGGCTCACCCTCCCTCCTCAAGGACGGCCTTCACGCCGTAGCCGGCGTTGTTGACCACGACGTCTATGCGGCCCCAGATTGCGAGTGCCTCCTTGACGCGTTGTTGCACCACATTGGCGCTGTCTGAGATATCGAGTTGGATGAAGTGTAGCCGACGGTCGGGTGTGGGGAAGGCGGCCCGCAGCTTCTCGAGGTTGCGTGCAGAAGCAATGACACAGTCGCCACGCGCGAGCACTGATGCTACGAGACGCTTGCCGAAGCCCGACGAAGTACCTGCACGAAGAAGAAGCCATGGTCAGCTTCCATAGGTGGTAAAGCGGCCATGATCGACGTACCAGTGATGAACCAAATTTTCTGAGGGAAGCCGCCCATTGGCAAGTTGGTCTGATAGGTAGGGGTGTGTGTGGTGTACAGTGGAAGAGGGGAGACGAGGTCGGACAGGTCGCGGAGAGAGGATGGGGGGATGAGTAGATGACTGCATGGCCGACGAGCCAAGGGGGTATATGTAGTCGTGCGGGATCAGAGGGCCGGAGGAGCGTGACGGAAGAGCTCCGAAGTCTGTGTCTGCGAGAGCTGTTGCAGAAACTGGTGTCTGTGGATTATGGCAAATGCGGCGGCGCTGGGACAGCCCTGGGCTGATGGCGTCGAGTGCGAGATTGTGCGAGATTGCGTTTCCCCCGCGTCCGAAACGTACCCACGCACCGAAAGTCAGATTGGCGCGAACGATGACTCACGGGGCTCGCCGCGGCGGTGCTCACACACCAGATCTCGCGGGTACAAGGCACGATCGCCTCCCGCCACGCCCGCGCGCCTCGGACGACAGTTGTGCCACGCGCGTGCCCAACATGCAAACAGCAGACTCTGGAGTGCGCACCGTCGATGATACCCTGCCGGGACAGCAGCACGCCTGCCACAATATCCATCGCGCGCCCTGTCCTGCGCGAAGTCACCCGTATTCGCCTTCATGCGAGGATGACACATCGTCCAGATATCGACCGAGTCACTGATGTCTTCCTCCGCTCGCAATCCGACGCTGTGTCATCGCCGACCCAGCCCATAGAGTCGCCTCGCGTTGACGTCAACTAGAGCAGTCCGAGCTAAGCTTCCGGGTGCTCGTTGGCACGGAGAGAGGTGGATCAGCAAGCGCAAAGACGTCCGAGTCGGACAACGAGGCCGCATCGCCATGCCCTCGCGCTCTCGCTTGCGGATTACGTAAGCTTTCCCGCGCTCCCTGTGCTTGTCTCAACCGGCCACAGCTCTGCCTGATTGGACGATCCGATGAGAACAGCCGGAAGAAATCGCATCCAGGATGCCGTCTCAGCACAACAGCGATGAAAACACTCGCCTATACTCAACTGCGACCTCGTGGAGGCAAACGCGCCGCAGTCGCCCGCCGCCCGGGCTTGCCCGGTGCGCCGTCGTCATATGCTTCGGCACAGCTTCTGTTGCAATTGCAAGCCGCAGAGGCAGGTCATTCGCGTATTCTGCGGCCCAACTATAATTAACATCAGAGTTCAATGCGTACCGTACACATGCCTGCAACCGTCCTCGTTGTCGTATAGCAGCACCGTATTAGATCGAGGCCGTCCTTGTCGCAGATGTGGCGGGGAATGCATCCCGCCGCGGATCGGGCTGGAATGTGGACGAGGAGCGAGTGACGATGGCCGAGGAGGTCCCTATGTCAATTGGGTGTGGTTGTTCGGGCCGTATGCTATGTGTCTTTGGCACCTGCACTTGACCGTTGTCCAAGTACTGTCAACCAGTGGGCGGCAGTAGACAGCATACCACGGGATGCGCAATGGGAGCATGCAGATACAGACAGGTCCATGTGCACACCCGGGCAGTTCCGAGCAAGCCAGGATCCAGGACGTCACTGCCGGGGGCTAACTTTGGGCCAGCTTCGCCGTTCCCGTCAGTGCGTCAGCAGGGCGGATTCTCGGCAGTCCTGCGAGGAGGGAAGCTGCATACGTCAACGTTTCAGCGCGCAACGTTCCGTCAACGGTAGAACGTGATGATTGCAGCCTGCTCGAGAGGTGTCCTGCGCGCCATCTGTCCCGCCGCGCCGCCATCCATCGCTGACGGTCTGCTCCCGCCGTCTGGGCATGCATTGTTCTTTCGGCGACGGCCACGTCGAGAATCAGATATCATATGTTTTGCCCTTGGTCGTCAACACTCTTCAACATTCCCTTCACCGCCGTCAACGGGGCAGGCACCCGTGTGCGCCTCACCAGATCGCAGGCTCAACGTACAAACACATTTGATGTTGCGATCTAGGCGAGACGCACTGCCACCCACCACGCCCTGGACCGCGAACACGGAGATGGTTCACCGGGTGCCCCTTGTGTCAATGAAGACAAAGTCGACTCCCGTCTGCACGATGTCGATGAGGAATGAAGCCGAGGACCGAGGCTGGCGCACGATCAGACGTAGTAGGGAAGGCCGCAAAACGTGAACAATCGCTGCGCATTTGGTGAACGTGGCAGTGTCCAGCATATTCACCTTCAAAGAACCGATCTCGTACCTGACGTGGGCGTACGAGATATCCGCACCCAGGGACTCCGGTGGAGGGGTGCAGATATCTCGCATGCTGACGTCTCGATACATGACCACAGGCCTTCTTTATTGCCGTACCTGAACGTTCGACCTCGGCGTATGGATACCCTGTACTCCCACGTCTGGGAACGCGTCCACAGAGAATCCCGCTTCCCAGCTTTCCGACGGGATTCTCCCGCCCGGCCCCCTCCGAAGGTTCGTGGCTCCAAACTCCAGAGCCCAGACTCCAGAGCGTCCAGGAACTTGCCGCGAGACGGGCGTGCTCAGTGCTGGGTACAGGAACGCGCAACATGCAATGCATCGCGGTGATACAGGTGAGACATACCAAGATCAGCAGTTCGTGGGTGCACAACTCCAAAAGCGTTGGCTATCCGAGGTCCACGCGCGATGCAATGCGGTGTCGCCATCCTCCTCCAGGCCGGACCCGAGTGCAGTGCCATCATCTTGTGGGTGCAAATTCGCCAGCGGTCGCCGATCCATGCCCGAAGCGAGCCAGAGCGAGGGCAAATTGAGTTGGAGCTCGGCGGTGAATCCAAGAGAAATTGCACAGTGTGATTGCATCGAACGTTGTGAGCGATGCTGTAGCCAACAGATGGGTTGTGAGGTATGAGAGGTAACTGAGAACGATAGATTCTCTCAATCCACAGTAGCGGCTAGGTTCGAGCTGAGTCAGTGAAATGCAGACACAAGTGGGACACAAGCGAAGTACCCATACAAGACGCCTGTGCTCTTCCTTCCGTTCCAGCACATAATGCTGACGTTTGCCCCTATAATAACTCCCGCTTAGCTCAGTGGTAGAGCGCTTCACTAGTACCGGAGGTTGAAATCTCGGGGTATGAAGAGGTCAGTCGTTCGAGTCGGCTAGTGGGAAAACTTTTCTCTTTTGCCCCAATCTACTTGAAGGCGTCTCTATCATCCTGTACTATTTTCGGGTCGTGTCCATCTTCTGAATGCGCTACGAAGAGGCGCATGACTCGAGTCGTTAGGTTTGAAGACCGGGAAACTGAGCCCAAGTGAGCATTAGTCAGCGAGGTCATCAGCTCTCTTCCAGTGCCAGCATCCTCGCAGGTGAGCAAGCTGACGGATATCACGAATGACTGGACTATTGACAAACTGATCACAGACGATAGGCAGAGACGAGCCATGTCCAGTGAAGCAATACCAACGAGAGAACCTCTTCCCCTCGTGCGGAACTCGGTACTCGCTGCGCACACCGCGATTGTATCTTTGATACATCGGACGCCGGTCTTGACGTCTTCCTCCCTTTCAGAGTCCCTTCCCGGGCGGAACACCTTGTACTTCAAGGCCGAGAACCTGCAGAAGGGCGGTGCGTTCAAGTTCCGCGGCGCCAGCTACAGCTTGTCGTGCTTGACGCCAGATAAGCTCGCGAGAGGTGTATGCACGCACAGCTCAGGTACTGCAGATGTGTTCGCTGACTGGCATTCAAACCGCATGGGTGTATGTACTCATCATATCGTTCATTTCTCGTTATCGATCCGGCAGGCAATCACGCCGGAGCCCTTGCCCTCGCGGCGAAGCAGCGCGGAGTCAAGTGCTATGTGGTCATGGTACGAGTATCCGTCTCCTCGACTGTCCAACCGTTCTGCATTGACTCATGAAGTAACTCTTTGACTCACTCAAACCCTCTCCAATCCCGCTCCTCGGCGGACGCTCCACGAAATGGAAACGAAACTCGGATACGTACCGCTACGTCCACCGTGACCGTGACGGAGCCAGCCCAACAACTCGGCGCAGCCCAAGATCGACGCGGTGCGCGGGTACGGCGCCGAGATCACCTTCTGCGAGCCCAACGCACCCGCGCGGGCGGCGACGCTCGCTGCGGTGCAGGCGCAGACCGGCGCGACCTTTGTGCCCCCGTACGATGCAGCCAACACGATCCTTGGCCAGGGCACCGCACTGTTGGAGCTCATCGAGCAGACTCCAACGCCGCTCGCCGCCGTGGTTGCGCCCGTGGGTGGCGGGGGGCTCCTCGCGGGCACGGCGCTCGCCGCGGACGGGACGGGGGTGCGCGTGTTTGGCGCGGAGCCGGCGGGCGCGGACGACTGTGCGCGGGGGCTCGCGGAGGGGCGGCGGCGGGAGGACGTCGATGCGCACACGGTTGCGGACGGACTGCGGACGCCGGTCGGGGTGCTGAACTTTCCGATTATTCAGGAGAAGGTTGAGCGGGTGATTACCGTGACGGACGAGGTGCGTGCTAGGAGCAGGGCTTGCTCCTGTTAGCCGGGCTGACGCTGAGGATAGGAGATCATCGAGGCCATGCGTCTGCTATGGGAGCGCATGAAACTCGTCGTCGAGCCGAGCGGCGCTGCGTCGTTCGCTGCGGTTCGGAGCAAACAGTTTCAGGAGCTGGGCATCGAGGGGCCCATTGGGATCATCATCAGCGGCGGGAACATCGACCTCTCCAAACCTCTGCCGTGGGCGCAAGCGTAACTCTAACTTTCGACGGAGCGAGTGTGTTCTGCCGGAGATCGGGGCATTTCGTTTGTCCTCCTAACGCCGCGTGTCAGGAAGCTGTAACGTCGTAACCACCGAACAAGAATAGAACAAGGTCGCCGGGCCGCGCGCAGTCTGCGCCCGTGCCATCGTGGCGTTTTGTGATCCTCCAGTGGTGGCGGAGCCGCAGTGCCACAGCGTGCGGGTGCGATCAGTGGCGATAACCTCGCGGGTAGCAAGTAAATGGCCGGTGCGATGGCAACTGGATGACGCGCTCAGCCATAGTCATTGGCATAGGCTGAAGTTCGTGACGAGAGTTCTCTCGCTGTAGCATGATGGTCGCACACGCGTGGCATGGTACAGTTCAGGGTGAATGAATGGGCTCGCTTCAATTCGTCCGTCCACTCTTCATGCTTGCAGCACGGCACATGGCAGACATGCCATTGACGTACTCGTCCATGTCATGTCATATTCCCTCCATTTTTACGCATTACCCTGGTGCGTCGACCGCGACAATCGCATCTCTGCGGCCAATTCGGGCACGCCAAAGTGGATTGGGTAGGTGCAGTCCGTTACTAATAATCTGTGACCTGAGTGCGGGCAAGGCCAGCGAGATAAACCTGTTTTCTTTCAGGGCTTTTTGGGGTCAGACTCGCTGTCGCTTTCTTCGCAATCATGGAGCTACATGTGGGTATTTGCTATCAATCACATCCACTCCGTCGTCCTTGAAAGGATCGCTGACCTATTCCATGAAAGAGCTCTGAAACGTTTCCCGCGCGCAACACCAACAGCATGTCCTCCCGTCCAACCTAGGACATCTTCGACTAAAAGATCGCCAGCGCATTTGGCGGTGACCCAACCAGGCACGGCACGTTGAGCGGGCTCGACGTTAGCATGAAGCTGTACCGGCCCTTCTCCCTGCAGTATGCGGCCAGCCGGCGCAGATCCCACAGCTCGCCCAGCGACATGCCGAAGAGGCTCAGGCAGTACGGGTGCAGGACTAAGGTTAGGCAAAAATCATCAATTCATGCTCTCGCAGTCGCATGCGCAAGACTCACCAAGTCCGTCCGTGCCGTCAGGCGACCCGTCCTCCTTGACCGGCGGGAACGCCTCGAACGACATGTTGTCCGACGCCACGGCAGCAAAGTGCTTGTTCCAGAGCCACCTGGCCGTGGCCTCAGAGCCATGCAACCCGGACAGCGTCCCGTTCATCATCTTCATCATACCCGCCGGGTCAGGGTCCTCGATCACATCCGTGAACCCCGTCCGCAAGACGAGCACGTCGCCCGGGCGGAACTCGACTCCCTGGTGGCGCGCCACCTCCTCCACGTCCTCGACCGTGATCCTATACCCGTCGAGGGCGTGGTAGTCGATGCCCTTCTCCTTCGCGTACCCGGCGTAGTCGATCAGCACGCCCCGCGCGACCAGCCCGCCCCGCGCGTGCCAGTGGTCCAGCGTCGGGAGGCCGTTTTCGGCGGTGGTCTCCTTCGCCAACGCCTCGCGGGTGACGGTGGCACCGTTGTAGGCCTTGGCCGTGGGCTGGTGCTGCCAGTGGATGAGGCTGTCCCACTGGCTGCTGCACTGGGTGTTGAAGCTGAGCTCGTCGTCCCAGCCGTGCGAGCTGCCCATGCCCGCCTCCTCGAGGGACTTGATCGCGTGCTCCATGCGCTTGCGGGGCAGGGGGAGCTTCGCGAGGGCGTTGATGGGCCAGCTGGGGGTAAGTCGCGGTTAGCATGGGAGCTCCTCGATACGGTCATCGTTGGTGAGGAGGGAGACGCACTTGAGGGAGATGGAGACCCCGTCCTTGACCTCGGCAGCGGCGGCCTTGACGACCTCGGGCGTGAGCAGGTTCAGGGTCCCGAGCACGTCCTTCTCGCCCGCCTTGTCGAAGATGCCCCAGGCGCACCCCTTGGGCATGCCCTCGACGGCAGGCAGGTCATCGTAGTCGGGGATCTTGGAGATGTCCATGGCAGCAGCTACGACAGCGCTCTGGGAACTCGTCGACCGTCGACGCGAGAAGGGCGAGTGAAAACGGGTCTGTCCCGATTGTACAATGTTTACCTGATTGATCGATAATCTCAAAAGCATGGGGCCAGCGGATTGTCGGAGAAGCAATATTGATGTAGGTTCGTCTGGACTCTGAAGTCACATTGACAGACTCCTCCCACCTGACATGCGGATGGTCTTGGTATGATACCAGGCTGGACAGCTCCCGCATGGGCCGTGAGATACTATCATACCGGTAGAGGTATGCAGGGTTGGCAGCACTACCAGCACAGCAGCTCCGGCAATTTGTTCGGTAACTTGACTTTGTTGCTTCATGTCATCGGGCCGTTCGGTATGTGCTACCACCGCGTGCCAGCGGGCTGGTATTGCGAGCAGGACTACCTACATGCGATGTGAGAAAGTTGCGTTCTCGCGGAGAGATCGCGGCTTTAACCTCACCGAGGTACCGATACTCTGCCATCTCCAGACCAGTTCCCAACATTAATGTCACGGCGGCGGTGTGTATCGCGGTGACAAATGCCCGATACATTCGCTACCAAACGTCCAGGATCTCAGATCAGGCTGAGGCCCAGGGTCGACCAAAAGCTACAGATACACAAGTAATTACAGATCTATATTCATCATGATGTAAGTCGTCGCGTCGTGCAGTGTGATACGTGTACTCCTACAAGCATGTCTGTCTCCAATCCCATCCCATCCCATCCCTACCGCACCTCCTTCGGCGGGATCCACTCCGGGATGTTCTTCCAGTCAAACTTCTCGCTCTCGCTCCTGAACGCCTCCATCGCCGCCTTCGGCACCAAGTCCACATAGTTCGGCGGCAGCAGATCATCGTACTTTGTCCGCCCCGGCTTGTACAGCGGCCGCCGGCGCGCCGCCGCAAAGTCGGGCTTCGTCGACTTGACCGCCGACGCGCTCTGCTGCTGCTGCTGCTGTCCGAAGAACGACGTCGCTCCCGGTGTGGTCGCGATCGGCGTCGTGCTCATGCTCGTCGACATCGAGGGCGCAGCTGGGAACGTCGAGAGCCCCAGCCCGGACAGCCCGGACAACTCGCCTCCCTGCGGCTGCTGCTGGTTCGTGAGGGAGCCAAAGGGCTGCTGCTGGGCAGCGTTGGTGGTGGCAGCGGTCGAGCCGAATGCTGACTGCACCGGCGCGGACGATGGAGCGCCGAACGCAGAGGGGCCACTGGCCGACTTGAACGCGGACTCGCCCCCGCCACCAAAGGCCGATGACGCGCCGCTCGCACTACCCCCGCCGCCGAACGCGGATGCCGCGTTGTTGTTAGCTGCACCGCCAAATGCGGGTTGGCCGAAGACCGAGCCCCCGGGAGCCTTGGCGGCGGCTGCGAGCCCAAAGGCGGACGGCTGGCCACCCGCGAAGGCGGAGAATGCACCGCCGCCGCTGCCACCG